ATGATTTGAGGCCAGGAGTTCAAGATCAGCCTGGGCAACATAGCGAGGACCGCTCTTCCCCACCCCCCCAACCAAAAAAAATTTTTTAATTTTAGGAAATTAGCCAGATAATGGCTTGCAGTAGTTATTATTGCATTGTGGAGATGCAGTTCAGGACTTGGCCCAACTATTGTAATCATTCAGCTGGCCTAAGGCAAAAGTCTGTTTCCTAACACTGGCGAGCAGGAGGCGTTGCTGCCTTAGCTAATGACTGTGGAACTGTGGCGCCTCTGTGCTTTAAGAAGGCTTGCCTGTTCTCTAGCCAAGTTGAACTTAGGTCCCCATGCTCGTTCCTATGATAGCTGGTCAGTGAAAGCTTAGGGAAAGCTGAGGCAAAACAAGCAATACCTCAGCCCCTATGGACCTGAACAGTTTCATATCCCCTAGCACATATGGGGCTGTTCAGTGTAGCCTTTGGAAACCCATTTCTGTGTAAGTAGTGTATGCCCTGAGCAACTGGCCTTTAGACCTGGAGTCAGATACCAGAGTTTTTTTCTGGGTTTGAGTATTTATAGCCTCCATTAGCGTGGATAAATCAGTCTTGCTGCTAGTCCCTATGTGATAGGACGTGATTCTTCCTAGAGGGGAGTGACTTTCTGCATCAAGCTCACTGGGAGTTTTTCTGTTTGTTTTTTATTTGTTTGTTTGTTTTTTGAGACAGAGTCTTGCTCTGTTGCCCAGGCTGGAGTGCTGTGGCGCAATCTTGGCTCACTGCAAGTTCCACCTCCTGGGTTCATGCCATTCTCCTGCCTCAGCCTCCCAAGTAGCTGGGACTACAGGTGCCCACCACCACGCCCGGCTAATTTTTTGTATTTTTTAGTAGAGACGGGGTTTCACCGTGTTAGCCAGGATGGTCTCGATCTCCTGACCTCATGATCCACCCTCCTCGGCCTCCCAAAGTGCTGGGATTACAGGCGTGAGCCACCATGCCTGGCCTTACTGGGTTTTATAATCAGGATGATGGCTTTGATTTTTGCTTGAGTCAAAGTTGAATTCAGGGTCCTGTGGTACCATCTAATGTATCTGCCCTTTGATCTGTTTTCCTTATTAGTAGTGGTACAAGTGTAACAGGAGGTATTTCATTGATTCCAGGTGAGCTAAAATATTCGGCATCTGCTTTTACTGCAGATAAAAGTTGAAGAGTTGCTAAGCCCCAGAAGAGAGTGAATGTTACCTGTATTGCCAAATCCTACTTTTAGGCTGGGATTGTCGTTGGCTACCAGAACCCGTTACACCAGGTCTTAGAACTCCAGTGGAGGCCAGGCATGGTGGCTCACGCCTGTAATCCCAGCACTTTGGGAGGCCGAGGAGGGTGGATCATGAGGTCAGGAGATCGAGACCATCCTGGCTAACACGGTGAAACCCCGTCTCTACTAAAAATACAAAAAACTAGCCGGGCGAGGTGGCGGGCGCCTGTAGTCCCAGCTACTCGGGAGGCTGAGGCAGGAGAATGGCGTAAACCCGGGAGGCGGAGCTTGCAGTGAGCTGAGATTGCGCCACAGCACTCCAGCCTGGGCGACAGAGCGAGACTCCGTCTCAAAAAAAAAAAAAAAAAAAAAAACTCCAGTGGAATCTGAAACGTGGATGGACCTCCCATATTGAAAGTACCTCCATCCAGAAGGTACCGCCATGGTCTTCCCACTTGGCCTACTGCCATAGGACTCCCTAGACAAGCTGTTCTTGGAATCTTTGCCAGGTTTTTCCTCTACAGCTGGTGTTATGTTGCCTGTGTTCTGTGATCCACATGAGACACCTATGATCCTGCGTGTGGGGAGTCTAGATTGTAAAATAGGTTCCAAATAGAGTCGGCACCCTCTCTCTTCCTTGAAGTGATGGTAATTAATTTGGGGGTAAGGAAAATAGAGCTTGTTCGTCAAACCATTTTTCTGTTCCAGTTAACAACATCTCTAATACGTAGTTCACTGGGTAAAGGAGAATTAGGTAGCATTTTTCTTCATAAAAGGCATGGAACATCAGTAAATAGAGGATCAACAATAACCATAATCTAAACTAGTTAAATACCACACTGAATGGTCTGAGGGCCAGGGCACTCAAACGGAAATCTGAAAATGCACGTGTCTTTATTCCTCTTGCTGCCAGTTGCATAGAACCTGCTTTATTTATCTGTTAAGTGGGAATGTACAACAGCTTTTTGGCAAAGTCATGAACTCCCTTCTTCAAGTATTCTAGACAAATCATAAGGCCAGTACTTGCTTTATAAAGGCCTACATGAAGTGTGTAGAGCTTTGAACTGGAAAGCAGTTACATTTAGGGTAAAGGAGTAAATATTTCATAGGAAACATGCTGTTTGTTTTTTGAGTTTTCTCTTTTCTTTATTAAATGTATTATTTTTTTCCTAACCCTCAGAACCTGTGACTTTGTTTTATTTTTAAAAGAGAAGGTCTTACTCTGTCTCCCAGGCTGAAGTACAGTGGCATGATCATAGCTCACTGCAGCCTCGACCTCCTGGGCTCAAGTGGTCCTCCGGCCTCAGCCTCCTGAGTATCTGGGACTCCAGCCATGCGTCGCCATGTCCCGCTAACTGAAAAAAAAAATTGCATGTGGAGATGGAGTCACACTGTGTTACCCACACTGTTCTCCCAACTCCTCACCTCAAGCAGTTCTCCGGCCTCAGCCTCCCAAAGTGCTGGCATTGTAGACATAAGCAACCATACCTAGCCAGGTTTTCTTTTTGCGGTGCATTTTTTTTCCTGCACAGAGACCTTTGAGCATTGTATTGGTTCTAACCCTTCAGGGTATTGAAGCTTTTGTTGCTTTTCTTGGGTAGTTCCAGATGAATGATTGTTGTTGGGAGCTGCTGAGTCAGGGCAGCTTGTTTTAAGCTGCTTTACTTTCTATTAGGTTGGTGAAAAAGTTAGTGCGTTTTTTGCCATTAAAAGTAATGGCAGAAGCCAAACATGGTGGCTCATGCCTGTAATCCCAGCACTTGACTCTGTCTCGAAAAAAATAAAAATAAAAATAATGGCAAAAACTGCAATTACTTTTGCACCAACTTGATACCTCTGATGTATGTTACCCCCCACTAGGCCTTGCAAAATGGAATCTGAGAGCCCTTTGCTGCCCCAGCCCACACTTGCTTGAGTGAGTGGATGCTGTGGCTGCTGAGATGGTTGGAGCCATAGCTCGTCTGCTAGAGGCATGGTTGGCTCGGGCTGACAGCCATGTGGCATTTTGGCAAATGCCAGCTGCTTCCCTCACCAGTGCTGCTCCCTTTATCAGGTTGCCTCACCTCTCTGAGCTTTGAGACCATACTTGTCTCCTTGGATCTTTGTGAGGGTTAAAGAGAACGTGTTAGGTGCTACTGTAGCACCTGGCACGTAGTGGATGCCCCATTGGTGTTGGCCTGTCCGTTCCCCAGATCATCTCCTCGGGATTTTTTGTTTAGTTTAGTGATACCACCAAGCAACTAGAGACGTACTTCTGGTTTTGGGAGGCTTTGTATAGAAAAACAGAAAGCAGGGACTGGGGAGGAAGCACACGTCATGGTCCAGCATGTTCATGGTTCGTGCAGCTGCTTTTGATGTTGGTATATCTTGGTGTCTCATTCTTATGAGGGGAAGCAAGACTGTGAAGCCTCTTCCGCTCAGCCAAGCAGCACAGAAAGTGCCTTTGGCAAGTTGGAATAAACCTTATCATGTGGCAAGGGAGAGCTAGTTTGGGGAGAAGTAATACTGCAGTCCATCAGATTTGGTTTTGAATCTTGGCTCTGCCTCTTACCACGTGATTTTTTTTTAAAAAAAATGAGACAGGATTGGCCGGACACAGTGTCTCACACCTGTAATCCCAGCACTTTGGGAGGCCGACAGGCGGCTCACGAGGTCGGGAGATCAAGACCATCCTGGCTAATACGGTGAAACCCCCTCTGTACTAAAAATACAAAAGATTAGCTGGGCGTGTTGGTGGGTGCCTGTAGTCCCAGCTACACGGGAGGCTGAGGCAGGAGAATGGTGTGAACCTGGGAGGCGGAGCTTGCAGTGAGCCAAGTTCGCACCACTGCACTCTAGCCAGGGCGACAGAGCAAGATTCCGTCTCAAAAAACAAAAAAAAAAAACTGAGACAAGATCTCGCTCTGTTGCCCAGCCTGGAGTGGTGCAGTCACGTAATCATGGCTTATTGCAGCTTCGACCTTCCAGGTTCAAGTGATCTTCCCACCTCAGCCTCCTAAGTAGCTGGGACCATAGACATATGCCACCATGCCTGGCTAATTTTTAAAAAAAATTTTATAGGCATGGGTTCTGACTACGTTGTCCAGGCTAGTCTCAAGCTCCTGGGGTCAAGTGATCCTCCTGCCTTGGCCTTACGAGGTCCTGGGATTATAGGCGTGAGCCACTGCACTTGGCCTAACCACGTGACCTTGAACAAGTCTTAGTCTCTGCAGTGAAATGGGTATCAGTGAAACAGGTGTTATAATACTCACCTGGCTTTTAGGGCAGAGGTGAGGATTAAAGGCAATGTAGGATTAGCCCCTGGTACTGTGCCTGGGACCTAGGTGTTAAATAAATAGTTGCTGTTTCTGTGTTTTTGCTGATATATGTGTTGTTAGCTAGCAGTAGCCTTACATCTGAAGTTAAGGTGCATAGAATGGCATATAAGGGTCTTTAGCAGAGTGGTTGAGACACTTTTGTCAAGAAGAAAATAGGAAAGTTTTGTGGCCTGGGTGAAGGAAGGTTGGCATTGACTGATCTACCATCTGAAAGACTGGGGAGTTATCTCTCTACCGTCCCCTCTCTTTGGATGGTGTGATTCAGTGAGAAACTTAGCAACTTGAAATGTACTGATCTTTGACCTGCTGAGGTTTTGTATGGCAAAGGCCCTCAGGCCTTGTCTGTGGATTGGGGCTTCCTTGTGACTCACTGGGAACCAGAGATTCTTGCCCTTGGTTTGGTTGTCAAGTTGCACTGCTATGTCTACCATCACTGACTATCTTCACTCTCTTCCAGGGGCTCCATGGGCCTTACCCCTTCGGCCAGTCTTAAACGGGTGTCAGCAAGAAGAAAAATTAACAAAAGACAGAAGGCCTGACTTTGGGGGGTTAGGGCAAGGGGTTCCTCTGGATTGCAGACCACATCGCACAGACCCCTGGCTCTGACCCCCTCTCATCCCGGAAGAAGAGGAAGAAGCAGAACAGACTAGTTTTGAGTAAACTCAGTATGCATGTGTGAATGCTGAATCACAGGAATGGTGTTGAGGCTACTAAGAAGAAATCCATGCAGCCACTTTGGGTTTTGTTATAGGCATCAGTCTAACAAGTCATTAGGTCACTCGGGAAGGGGGAAAAAGTTTAAAATGGGGGAAAAAAGCCATCTTTTTAAACAAAAATTATTTTGCCTACAGAGAGGTTGTAGTTTTGAGCACATGTTAATTTTTTTCCCTCTTTCCCCACTTTTCTTTTTTTAAATAAGGGATAACATATTCTTTATAGAATAGTGCTTGCTCTGGAAGAGATTCAGGTGAAAAGTTGGCGTGGCATGTTTGAGGACTCTGCGGATCAGTGCTACAGGAGTACATCTGCCGTGCCACATGACTCCAGAAGTCTCTGACCCTATTTGTTTTTAATGGCATCAGCCAATGAGTTATCACCCTTTTCCTCCTCTTTCCTCTTAATCTTCTGTTGATTTACACCTTTGACATTTGTATTCATCAACCCTGTGGCTTGTTAGCATCAGAACCTCTCTGAAGACCAAACTTCCCTGTGTGGCCAGGAGAGGAAGCCTTGAGGATAGATCTCGGGTGACGTGGGATTTTCTAAGCCCGAGAGGTGTCCTTCTGCACACCCTTGTAACAATTCAGATTGCTTTTCTTCCATGTTTCTCTTGGCAGAGAGAAATGCCATCATGCTTACTGCTCTTTTGGATTCTTCATGCAGTAGCTTCCCATTTGCTCTGGGAACAGTGCCTCTGTGCTGGTTATACGTATGCACCACGTGTGCACGCACGGGTGTTGGTGCAACTCGCCAGCAGGTGTGCAGCAGGCAAGCTTGAAGGTGGCCCATGCTTCTCTGTTGTCACACAACTCCTTTCCCTGTTTCCCTTCAGTTGTCCTCTGTGATATTTTCACAACCTGTTAGTGGAGGCTGAGCTGTAGAGTTTGGAAAATACAGCCCCGAAAGGGGAATTTGTCGTGGGGAAGGGCCAGCCACTGACTACTTGATCTTGGAGACCACATTTAGATGGAAATGAGAGGACCTCCACAGCCCTGCCTCCCTGCCAGGATGCTAGGTTCTTGGCTGGGAGGTGGGCAAGTGGCAGCCCAGCTGAAGCAAGAGGCTGATTGGCTGGCTGCTCACTCAGGCAGGTGGCCCCCTGGCATCCTGTGGATTCTGAGCAGGTTGAGATGTGGATATCTCCATGGGAAGCTTGAACCAGGCTAGAACAGCTGTCTGCCAAAGATACAAGAATATGCAAAGTCCCTCTTCTCTTCTCACCCCCCTCCTTCCCTCAAGTCTTAGTTGGTTTGAGAGCCAGGGATATGGATCCAGGGTGCTGTTGCAGGGTCACCTGCCTGTTACCACACCCCCATCCAGCTGGGTGGTAGGTGAAGGTATGAGACAGGCAGGGAGACCAGGTGATGAGTGGCTGCAAGGAGTCATATAGCCTGGGTGTGGGTGAGGGTCTGCCTGCCTGTTTCTGTCTGGGTGTCTGAGTTCCAAAAAAAATGTGTGTTGTTTGTTCCTCCTCATCCTCTTCTGAGACTGTTGTTTTTTTAAAGCTTGATTGTGGGAGAAAAGCTTGTGTGAAATTCCCTCTTCACTTCCCCACCCCCACCCCCCTCCCAAATAAAAGGGGGCATAAACTTTATTCCACTGGAGAAGCCCAGGGCGTGGGTGGAGCCAGCCTGCTGAGAAGCGTGGTGCAGCTGGGTCTGGGACTTGACTAGAGCTTACTCTGGAGCACCTACTTCCTGTGTGCATGGGAGTGTTCCATTCCCTAGCAGAGCAGAGGGAAGTCTCTGCCAGGTGCCCGCGCCACAGGCCTCAGGATGGCTTTTTGTCTGAGGGCCTCATTAGGCCTAGACTGCTGCTGCTGGTACCAGTCTCCTGAGACACTGCCTCCCTGGACCCCATGCATGCCCAGCTGTTCTTACTGCTTAGAAGCCTTGAAGCAGCACATCTCCACTGTCCCTGGCAGGATTGTGGGAGGCTTCACAACCCCTGCTTTCCTGACTTCCTCATCTGCCCAACACTGGGTGCCCCTTCCCAGTTTCCCAGCAGGGGCTTCATGGGCCACCATCAATGGGTCTGGGTCTGCCAGAGTCGTCTTGCTCTTCCTCTTGCTTCTAGGCAACCACACTTGGCAAGTTAAACGTCCCAAGCACCTTGTCTCCCTTCCCAAGAACAAACCATTTATGTGCACATCCTTGGAGGTGAGGTGAGCTGAGCTCCTTGCAGAGGGCCAGAGTAAGTGCAAGTCATGGAGTGCAGGCAGAGGGGTCCATGGCTTCCCCAGCCCAGGGAGGGTATCAGTATCTTTCATTCTCTCTCTTCTCACTGGTATGGGTTCAGAGCAATGCCTAGAGCCCCTCTCTGCTCCCCTGCCTAGTGCGGTGGTAGTGGCTACCTCTCAGCCCCAATAGTCCCTGCTCCTCTTAGAATCTTCACCAAGTGGCAGGCCACCTCTGGGCGGGACCACCTGCGTGTGGCACCCAGGAGGTGAGGCAGACACCATGGTTAGGTGTCTGAACCCAGTTGGGGAGACAGAGGGGTTCAGACTTGGGAAGAATCTGTCAGTGTGCATGGAGTGAGGTGTGTGTGTGTGGATGGATGTGCACGTGTGCATGCCTTTTTTCTTTTTGCCATGAGGACAGTTGAATTTGGGGCGTTTTTCTACAAGAAACAGTCAGCCTTCTCTCCCCCATAAGGACTGGCTGTAACCTTAAGCCCATCAAAGTTACTTCCAGCCTGGAGAGAACCTCACCAAACAGCTGGTGTGGCCTGAGGGTGGTCATGGTGGGAAATGGGCATGAGAATAAATACCTCCCCAAATTCAATCTGAGCCCAGCAGGAGAGGATGGTAGGGTTGCCAGGGCTCAGAAGTGCAAGCTGATTCCCCACCCCACCCCGCCTCACCGTACTTTTCCTTTGTTTCCTTGGGTGAATGCAGGAGCAGCAGTGGCTGCCCTTCCCACCTGGACAGTGGTGTGTGTAGAAAGCCAGCTGGATGTTTGTGGTGGGGCCTCATGGTGCCTAGGAGGAGATAAAGATGAGGAGGTTTTTCCTTATTGTATAAATGAATATTTGTATGATTAAATTAACACACACACCAAAAAAAAAAACTGTTTTCATGTGTGCTGGTGAGTTTTATTGAACCCTCAAGCCTCCTGTAAACTTGTGTGGCCCCATAATGGCTCCGTGATGTGTACTGTTTGGTCTCTGGGCCTTTCCCTTTTGCAGATGGGAAAACTGAGACCCTGAGGTTCATCATATGTTTGGGAAATTAGTCCTGGGTTTATAATGGGATCTCCTGTGCTTTCTGGTGCCCAGTGACCAGGAAGGTAAGGCACCTGCCTCCAAATGACCTGTAGGTCACCAGGGTGCCATGCCTCTGTTGATCACTACTGTATCTCCAGCACAAATAAATATCAGCAGAGTTAGCACTGATCAGCCAGCAAGCATTGTTTGGTTCCCTGCCCCAAGGGCCTGAATGCAAGACTCTTCTTTCCCAGGGAGCACCCTGATACAGAGCCCAGAGTGAAAGAGCCTGGGAGATGGGCCCAGAGACCCCTGGGGTGAGTGCCCTCACCTGTGACAGTACACCTGCATCCTGCTTCCTTCCAGGTGCCCACAGCTGTTTGTTTTCTGCAGGGGAGCCCACCCCCCGCTTCACCTGGGTCTTCTGGCAACTTCAGACCCACTCCTAGGCCTTCCCCAACACCCCCACTACTGAACAGTTATTTGCTTGGCAGAATCTGTTTGTCTTTGGGGCTGTAACCTGTCAAGGAGTCACTAGGCCCTGGGAGAAAGGAGCTAGTTTGATGGCAGCTCCTGGCCTGAGCCATTCCCACGGGGGCTGGGTGACAGGGAGGGGGCTCTCAGCTGAGTCTGGGAGATGGCAGGGAAGCAGTTGCAGTGGTCTGGGCCCAGCCCTTCTGGCAGAGCAAACAGGCACTCTCAAGCCGCCTCTGTGCCTCAGCCCAGGTTGTGTCAGGGCGCTTCCCACCCTGTTCCTGAGAAGGTCCCTCCCTCAGGCTCTGCTCACGCAGGTTCCTGAGAAGGCCACCTGCTTGCTGTGACCCAGCCATTTCCCTGACATCACCTGGTGCCCAGCCCTGTCTGGTTGCCAAGAGGATAGGTACTGAGGGCACTCATGGCAGCCCCAGATTTTGGAAATGGGGAAGGAGCAGGCAAGACTGCTTAGAGATAGGAGAGAATATATGTGAGTTCGGTGGTCAAGGGTGTTCAGAGAATGGATTCTGGCCAGTCAGCGTGACTGACTGAAGATGTATTAGTATAGAAACCAGAACCTGAAACTTAAAAAATACCTATATATATACTTTTTAGCCCTTAGTCCTGAGACACCGTGATCTGGGGGAAATGCTTTCCAATCTTGAATGTGTGAAAATGCAGATTCTGATTTAACAGGTCTTAGGGAAGGGAGCAAGATGCCGCATTTCTAGCAAGCTCTCATGGATGCTGCTGGTCCAACCACACAGGAGGTCCAGCCCCCACCCCACACCCCAAAATCCACCCAGCCTGTGGGATACTAGCCAGGGATATGTTGGCTAGGCCCACTAGGACTTGAAGGAGCCAAAGTCATCGGGAACAGTAATGTTTAAAATGTGAGCAGTGGTTCCCCAGCATTTCCCAGGGTTGATTCAGGCTGTGATTTTTGACTTAATCATGATTTCTGGTGTGCTGCCCTTCTGTCACAAACAACAAATGTCTGAGTATCCACTGTAATTGTGGCAATATTGCCTGACCATTATTGGCCGATTCCTGTTAAACAGTTTATGAATATGAATCACCTAATTTAATCCACAGCCGTCCAGATGAGGCAATCAAGAGCAGATAAGCCTGGTGCTCAGTTTGTGAGCAACTAACATCTCTAAGTGTCTGGAGTCCTGTACAAGTGGCAGTAAAGCTGCCTTGGGGAGCATGGAGTAGACCTTAACTTAGTCCAAGGGTGTCTAGGAGACTTCTCTGAAGAAATGACACTGAAGCTGAGACCTGAAGAATGGGAGGATGGGACAGAGCTGGAGGAAACAGCCTACAGGAAGATGGGAGAGGGCAGTGTACTGGAGAGGCCGAGAGGAGATCAGTGCCTCGGAGAATAGGGGCTTCCCAGTTATTGCCCCAGCCCAGCCTGGGAGAGCTCTGCCACCCTTGCTCCTTGGCACTTTGTTAATTCATTCACTTACTGAATATCATTTATGTGCTAGGCACTATTCCAGGTGCTTGGGATATAGCAGGAACCAAAAAAGAAAAAACCCTGCCATCATGGAGCTGTGTTCTAGTTGGAGTAGACAGACAAGGAACACAAATGTAGTATGTCAGGAGGTGACAGGTACTATGGAGAAAAAGGATAGGAGTTCTGATGAGGGAGAGAGGATAACTATTTCATACAGGACATTCGGGGAAGTCTTACCTAACACGCAGAGACTAAGCCTTATGAATACCTGGAGTAGGAACGAACTTCCAGGCAGAGCACCGCACATGCAGAGGTCCTGGGTAGGGCCAGGAGATGAGGTCAGAGCGCTGAAGAGGTCAGACTGTGTGGGGCCTTGAGGTGACTGAAGTGGCCGTGGCTTTCATCCTGGGTGAGATGGGAGCCATTGCAGGTTTGTGAGCAGAGGGAGGAGCACATCTGGAACCCCCCAGCTGCTGTGTTGAGGATAAACTGGAGGAAAGGGTAGGTGCAAATAAACTAGTAAGGTGGTTCCTGGGGAGTGACAGCGAAGGAGGTGAGAAGTGGTTGGATCCTCATTACGTTCTGAAAGTGGAGCCAACAGTATTTGCTGATGGGTTAGATGTAGAGGAGCAGAGAGAGAGAAACAACCCCTGAGATTTGGGCCCAAGCAACTAAGATCTACTTACTAGATTGACAAGTTACTGTTAGCTAAGAGGCAGGACCACATGGGGAGCAGATTTGAGGGGAGAAATCAAGAATTCTTTTTGGGCTTGTTCAGTGTGAGATGCTCAGCAGGCATTCAAGGAAGGGGCCAGGCTGGCAGTGTGGATATACAAGGCTGCAGCTTAGAGGCAGGGTGGGGGAGTCCTCAGAGCGAGATGGAATTTAAAGCCTCAGCACTGGTTGAGGTTATCAAAGGAGTGAAATGTTGGACCTTATCTGTTGCTCCCTCAAAGCCTACTTTTTGCCCCAATTCCTTCTGCAAGGATCTTCTCTGACCAAGAAGACCTCTCCTCAGACTCAGAGCTCTGTTGACTGCAGTTGACGTCTCTTCTGTCCTTTTCCTTAGACTCTTGTGCCCCCACCCACTCCCTGCTGGTCACAGCAGATGGTTATGGAGTGGATGAGGGAATGGATGGTGTCCAGGCCAGGGGTGACTCCACCCAGGAACCAGGCTGCAAGGGCATGGAGGAGTGGAACCACAGCCCCAGTAGGGCCTAGTTTAATTCCTGTGGTCCTTCCTCCCAAGCTCCAGTCTGGGGCCCTGGAGCCAAATCCCCGAAATTCCTCCTGCTGGGCTGTGAGGGAGAAGCCTGAGAAAAGAGGGGGACTGTGTCTGCCTTGGGGCCTAAGAAAAGAAGCCCTGCAGGGGCCATGTTCACCTGCACTAAGCCCCCACCCTGGTCGACAATCGAGACACCCCGGATCCCTGATGGGCTGGGGTGCCACGGCTCAGTGCCTCTAAGCAGCCAAGGCATCCCCCTCTGCACCTCAGTCATGGGGCAGTGGGACACAGCAAGGGCCAGGGAGGAATTTCAGCCAAGCTATGAGGAAATCCTTGTCTCAGGCTGTGGCTGCTGATCCACGTTGTGGGAGCATGAGTGGTCCTTGGGGTGCTAGGAACGTGGCCGCCTCAGCTGGTGTGGGGGTGTGTTTATGGCCAGCAGAGGGTGCCATGGGGCCCAGACCTCACCTGGAAAGGATGAACACTGCCCTGGCCTGGCCTCCCCTGCAAGGATTTCCCAAATTCCCACCCCTCAAGGGCAAGTGTTGCCTCTGCCCTCCACCCAGGTGGGTGAGCTTCAGTCTGAATCTAGGCTCTGCTGTTTATCAGCCATGTGACTGTGGTCAATTTATGTAGGCTTCAGAACTTCAATGTCCTAATCTGTAAAATGAGGATAGTTTCTACCCCAGAAGTGTCATAAGAATTAAAACTATCCTATAAATGTTTAGCATCATATCCCTGGTACATGGTAAGTATCCAGTATGGGGTGACCATTGTTATATTATGACCTGCCAGAGATGTCAAGGCCTGGGCCCCCAAAGAGAGGGGACTGGAACACTGGGCATGTGGGAGGCAGAATCAACAAAATCTGTAGCCTGTTCAGGTGTCTCTCTCCGGACCACAGCTCTTATCTGAGGCAGACCCTTGCTTTATAAATATTTCTTGGTTTGGGGTGGGAGTTGGAATACAGGGATGCAGGAAAGGAGCATCCTGGAAAAGGGTTGAGGAGATCTGATTTATTCTTTTTGAGATGGAGTCTCGCTCTGTCGCCCAGGCTGGGGTGCAGTGGCGTGATCTCGGCTCACTGCAAGCTCCGCCTCCCGGGTTCACGCCATTCTCCTGCCTCAGCCTCCCGAGTAGCTGGGACTACAGGCGCACGCTGCGACACCCGGCTAATTTTTTTGTATTTTTAGTAGAAACGGGGTTTCATCGTGTTAGCCAGGATGGTCTCGATCTCCTGACCTCGTGATCCACCCGCCTCGGCCTCCCAAAGTGTTGGGATTACAGGCGTGAGCCGCCGCGCCCAGCCCTGATTTACTCTTAAGGAGAGGAGGCTGCACTCAGCAACGGCATACGGTGGGCTGTCAATACACGCTTGTTGAATGAAGAAGAGACTGGGGGCCTGCCTTCTGCAGGACTGGCCTGATTTCTGGAGGTGGACACTGCCCACCCCAGCTCAAATGGCTCAGCTCAGACCCCAGACAGTGTCTGGGGCTCCTCGAGAGGGGTGGGGGTCACAGATGTACCTGTGGGTAAAAATGATAGCCCAAAAACCGTATGCCTGAGAACTGCTTTGACCACTGCGGTTTACCACTTCTGAGAGGAGTACGGGGGCCAACACATCTGCATCCAGGTATCCACAAGGACCTGTGTAAGTGCCAGGGCCAGGAATGGAGGCCAGGGCCACAGGTGGGCACCTGATA